GCATCATGTGATGCGAGGTGATGTGATAGGGAAGAGATGTAGGTTTGTATCTGTCACAGATTGATGGGGTTCCAAGGTTACTTAGGTACTAGATCGATGCGTCCATTAGAAGTTTATTTAAAGTCGTTAGCTTCGAGTCGATGGTTTACGCTAATCTAAAGTTCCCAAGTGGGCTAGAAACAAATCGCGACCATCCATCTACACTACGGCCGATTGTTTAGTGCGCCGGCACGCACAGACAGATCTTATGTATTTGCCTAATACAGCTAGTTACTAGTGGCTAATTCAAATTCAAATGTAACCTCAATTGTGCAGTACATGAAGCATGTATATAGCGGGTATGCATTAGCTAATAGCATTATACAAACCGTTTTTTCTCCTCCCTCCCCCCTCCCCCTTCGTCGTTCTCGTCGTTTAAGAGGGATCTTCCAATTATACATTTCAGCTTTGTATTATCGCTTTAGCCCTTTATTGTCATTCGCCATGTAAGGAGTTTACGGTTACCACATACATACTCATCAATGTATCAGTAATCAATCAATTTGTCCAGCCCGTGTGACACTGGGGTTATGCCATTTCGAGCAAAGAGGCGTTTTCCCTACTCTACTATTGCCTTTCATAGCCAAGAAGAATATCATTATTGGATCTTCGGAGATGCAGAAACCCGAAGATCTGGAAAGCCACGCAATATTCTCCGTTTTTGCTTAGAACGAGTAATCCCAACGTCTAGGAACTACCAGTGATTGCCGAGATGATAACTAGGTGTGCCGATGATTGGTGACGATTGGCGACGATGCTGGCAAAAGCCCCCCCCACGTACCGCTTGAGACCCTTCATACATGCCACCTGAGTCGCAGGATGACATGTCGAAAAAGTCTGTGTATCGAGCGTTCTTTGCCAATCATAGCTTGGTCTCGATAAGGTAGGTGTCTACTAGGCATGTATATCAGACATGCTATACCTGTGTATTCCCAGGCAGACGGGAAAGGTGTAACCTCAACTAAGTCTTGACTAACAAGTTAGCACGTTTATTAGTCAGGCAATCAGACATAGGGGAGCAGAGATTCGCGAAAGGACCATGCAGCTGGTTATAACGCCACGCGGAGAGCGGTGGAAAAGTTTTCCGTAAGGTCCAGAAGGTCCCCATATGAACTGTGTTGAGTAAATCACTTCGCCAATTACCATTTCCCCTGTCCCTGGTTAAACCCGATGGTCTTTTACAACTAATTACATAAAAGTCAACAGTTACACGTGTAGGTACAGGCCTTCTCGAAGAAATGCGGATGTCTTTTCGGCGTTCATCATATCCGTAGGGGGCCGCTCTTCGGACTCTTCGACAGTCCGCAGTTCGTTCCCTAGCTTCGAGCATCTACTCACGTATGGGAGATATAATATATTCTGAATATGCGATGAAGTCAGGGTGCTTCCCGGGCCTAAATCCCTAGTAAGATTGAGAAAGCCAATCAATCTACCTTGACCGGGGGATCTACCCATCAACCAGCTGGCTGGGAATCTTAGCACCGACAAGGGGTCCCAGTCTACTAGGGTACGTTGCAGCCGCTCACCTATCTTGAATCCTTCCCCGTTGGGTAAAAGCGGGACGCCTTCGTACATAATGCCCTTGTGCTCTGAATCGTCAAAGGCGTCGCATCGTCGAGTATTAATTAATGTATATGAGGAAAAAGCTTATTCTTCGTCTATTGAAATTCTTCTCCGATCGTTCGTCCGAGAGAGAAAGCCACGAGGAGGATTTTATTTGTACGGATTACAGCCATTCTATCAAGCTGTCAGCGAGCTGCGATCATATATCATATTTACCCTTCAATTTCCATAACCCTGTAAGAGGACATGTGTAGTCAGTCCCCTTGTCAACTCGTCATAACATGTATTGAAAATTTGAAACGTTGGGAAGAATACTCACCAACGAAAGTTCCATCAGGTAACCTCGTGCCATTGCGATCTTCAATTGACTATCGCCTTATTCCTTGTGGCAAGCTGAGGTTCCTGCACTAGTCCGAGAGATCTAGGGTTTCCTAGTTCGCAACCCAGATCGTGGCTTATTCCCCTATATATTGATGAGCTGGAAGTTTTTCAATTTCATGCATTCTTATTAACGGGACCGAGTCTGGGGTATCTAGGGCTGCTAAGATTTCCAACGATCGTCCGCACGTGGCTTACATCGAACCAGCACGGCGGATTACACGACGGCTGAGCTGAGCATGATATTAAGGATCAGATATGAGGTTTAATAGCACTCCAAGACGAAAAGACACAATGATGAAATTGATTGAATCTTGGCGCTCGCTATGAGGCGCACCCTCAACCATACCCCCGGCTCGCTGGGAGAGACGTTATAAATATCCCAGCAATCTGGTTACACCGTATATCTAGGCGATTATTACGATGGAATATTTCGGTTTCGATCGTATTTCCTCTCTCGTAACCGTTCCCAAGGATAGGGTGGTACCGCTTAAGCTTACCTTCCAACCCCGGATGGAACCCGAAAGCTTAGCACACGTCCATAGCTACCTACATACTACTGTCTCGGGTAACGATGAACATCTCGAGCGGCATAAGCGACCGGATTGGAACCGAAACTTACTTGCATCCTACCGGACCATTGTCATAGGGAAGCGGGAAGCAACGTAATCATTAAAGGACCAATGGAGTCTTATTCCGCATCTTTGGATACCTGGGTAGGCAGTAAGTGGTAGGAAAGAGTATAAGACAACGCATATTTTCCATTGCCAAGACGCACTACTTCGTTCTCGGCCGTGTTCAGTACGTGGGTACTCACACGTAGTGTAGCGTTCAAAACAATAACGGCTCTTGTGCCGCCTCACTAAGTACCTACCTGGGTAGTTGGTAAGCATAATAACCCATGTAGCGTTAGAGAATAGTGTAACTCTTACGAAATGAATATAGGAAATACTTCATTTTAAAAATATCGCAATTCCGCTGGATTTTATGTAAGCAAGAGACCCGGGCGTGAAGGGTGGAGCGGGCTGACTAGGAGTTTGTGAGTCCTTCTCTCAACGTTCTGGCTCTGATTTGACCAATTCGCAAGATCTACAATCCCTGTTCGGATTGGAGTACATCGATCTCCTTAGGGGGGTAGATCCTACACAGTACAAGTGACGGTAGTTAAGTGGTTCCAACTTCTCGAAGCTCTGTGTATTGACATTTCATCCCCTGCCCCCTTCTAGTTCAGCTGGATGGAGGTTACCGCGTTTGCCTCCTTGCCGCACTGCCAATGTCCCAATGGTTATTAGTTCGACTCGGTCCCTGAAAGCTTACGCACCGGTACGTCATTAATAAATGTCATTGTACACATTAGTATGCATTCGGGCTCACAGCTGGTCTGGCCCAGTGCTAAAGCGATGTGACCTCGAACGGCTACTCCCGTCCCCGACTAATAGGCCAGCCATCTAACGCCTGACGGCCAGATGGCGGTCTAATAGAGCACAGCTAAACGCACTAGGATATTTGGAAACCGGAGCACGATGCGTGCTTGGCAATCTCCTCGTCACATAGGTAGCCTACGCCGCAAGGTAGAGATAATAAACCGACCAGGTACGTTCACAGGCAGCTCGCTTGCTCGGACCCTGCGTGCGATCTCATGACGCTCTTCTATCGGATGATAGGTGAAGTAAACATCTGCATGGCTTACATGGACTACATGGTACCCGGATTGAGAGAAACGTCTTTAGTGGACTAGATTCTGTCAATTTTCACAGCAGATGGTGGCACTCTCCAGACCAGGGCTATCCATCGCACTGGTACCAGCCATATTGGATTACTATACACAGATAATATGACAATCTCAGTGTACGAAGAGAACAGTCTAAGGTAATTAAGCTAGATCAAGGGGTCGAAAAGGGTGTGTTCTTAACGGAATTGCCCCGACGGGCAGGAAAATTCCAGCTGCAGGGGGCGACCTGGCTCCGCTCCTTGGCTTCACGATTCTCCCATCACTCTTTCGGATTTCCATGACCTTTTCGATCCCGCCCTCCCACGGTTCCTATGCTACCTATCTGTGATAAATCTCCAATCACGGTATCATTCCGACCCCCTCCCCCCTACGCTAACACCCCTTGTCGTTCACTAGTTGTGGATGCCACACTGCCCGAAGGAGAACCAAACAAAACCGTCTCTGGCTCTGTGCTGGCCGAACTTCGACAGTCAAATATGGTTGATTGCATGGCCAGCGTGTCACTCTCGAAGTACCCTCTTATCCTCTGAGTGACCGAGCTCGACGTAGCAACGGTCCCCACTAGTAGAAGGCGTTTCCCATCACTAGGAGTATCGAGGCTGGTATTCGTCATTCTACTAACGTTGTATACGTCTGTCCCCTGTGTTGACTTTGGCAAGCATCATGCGGGTAACTAGCCCCGTAGTACTTGATTCGGCCGGCACTAAGTTGCTACCGCACATCTAATCGACTATATTATGCGTTGTGAGTGTCTCGTTGAGTTCCCTGCTAGTGCGCAGAACGTCGGCGATCTGCCACTGGACTTTGTGTGTGGCTACCTATCTGGCAGATGGGGCCTTCTCCCCCCCGTTCTCGACCATCCTCTGCCTCTTTAGTATGTACCAGATGTACCAGGCTGGTTCAACCCCAGGCATGTTTCTAAGCACAGGGAAAGAGGGTCCTCTACCGGGGTGGGGGTGTTTTGATATGAGGCAAAAGACGATGTACTCGACCAGCCCGCTTCTGATACTTAACCACTTACATCGTATTCAGCTTCTAGTGTAGGAGTCTAAACTTCTCCGCGTACCCTTCTTGGCATCCCAAGATCTCCGAGTGGGCGTGCCCAACCCGTCGGCTCAGATCGAACCCTAGCGCACATCATTGAATCTTCGAGGTATATACTTCACTTAGATCCCCGGGTCCGCCTTGACTCTCTTAATCGAGGTCGAATTCATAAATCACAGGTCACGCCGGTCAGCCTGAGTAGATCTTCGCCTATCTAGCTTTAGCAAACGGTCGGTTGATATATTCGTCTTTAAGGGTTGGCTTTTTGCTTTATAACTTATAATTATATGTTTTACCGCGCGCGCACAGTTTCCAGCGTCACCTAAATCACTATCATCACATCTTCCAAGGCCATCACTTTAACTAGCCAAGTTCTTACTATAGCTCGACCCGGAATACGTCTCGAACCTAATAAGTCTACCGTGGATTAAGTTTAGATTGGTCTTGCAACAACCAAGGTTATCTCATAACAGTTAAGCTGGCTGTAATGGCTCAACCACAAGATCCCAGCCAAGGCTGGGCACGATGGCTTCCACAACACCCGAATTCGGATTATCAGATGGTCGATACCAGTCTTATGCAATATACATCAACTCCAACGACGACGACAGCTGTCCACAGGAATACCATGCCGACTCAGTTCATGGCAAGCCATGCGTATGCTAATATAGCTCCTATGCCCAGCCCACAAGCGCCCCAGTATTCATCTGGTAATACTTTCATGTTCGGTCAATATACGCCTCCGTCGCCCCCTCCCATAACTCCGTCTTTCAAGCAGTACCAGGAGGAATGCCCACCATCGCGTACGATCACCACCGATACGAACATTGGATATCAAAGAGATCCCTATCAGACCCATTCGCTAGAGCAGGACGCAAGGCCAACGATCAAATACGAACCTGAAGTAGCCATCCTACGATCTCCTGTCCCGACTCCCATCACGGTAAAGACAATCACTCGGAACGTAGCTGAGAACGAAGACAACGAGATTGTTTTCAACACTGAAGTTGACGACATGATGAAGGCCATCCAGGCCAAAGCTGAGCCGGATGATTCTGACTTTGCCGCGGCCGCCTACCCTTCTCCTCCTCATCTAGATGAAGAGAAGTTTAACCTGCGTAGGAAGTCCTGCACTCCGGACCAGAAAAGCCCCACTTCCAGTCAAAGTGGAAAGGAGCGCCAAAAGAAATATGTCTGTGACATCAAGGGCTGCGGAAAGCGATGTTCCCAGAAGACTCAACTGGAGACTCACAAGCGGGCTCATACTGGGGAGAAACCATTTGTAAGACGCCACAATTAAATTCCCCTGAAACATTTATTAACTCATAGGATATAGGAATGTGAAGTATGTGGCGAAAGGTTCACCCAGAGAGGCAATCTAAAGGTATGTACCCCCAACGGCACTATCCGCCATATCCATTTTCTAACAAGGTAGTCAGACCCATTCACGCCGCCACACTGGGGAGAAGCCTTACCATTGCGATATCTGTGGCCAGCCTTTTGCCCAGCTTGGAAACGTGAAGCCTCACAGACTAACACACTATCAAACCAAACCATTCCGCTGCATTTTCAGTACTTGCCAAAAGACTTTTGGCCAGCGAGGAAACTTGAAGGTTAGCACACCATCAATTTTCGTCTCCTTTTGACCAACTACACCAGCGTACTGACAAATATACTTAGACACACCACAACAGATTTCACAAGGACGACATCAAGGAACTGACAATGAAATTCAAGAACTTGGCCCCCGGTGACGAACTTCCCGAGGAAGACAAAAAACTGTTCAAACATTTCGCTGAGCTCTACAAGAACAGCAACAAGGGCATTAAAGGCCGGGGCTCTAACCGTACAAAACGCTCTAAGCACTCAACTTCCGAACACCATAGCCCAAGCACACCGGGAGGCCCTCACCAGAATCCTGTCTACTCGCTCCTCTCGTATCAGATGTACCGCCTTCCTCCCCAACACGGACTTCCTTGTCCCGATACCCATGGCAACATCAGCCTGCCCCGACACGGCTCCCAGGGAAGCATTGTTGTCCCCAGAGATCATCACGCCCCCTACGGGTCGTACGAAATGGATCAAGCAAGTATCGCCTCTAGCGGAACCCTTACCACGAGCACCAACAGTCCAAGCACTGTCTACGAAGACGATTATGGTCGTTCATTTGCTGCTCCGCACAGGATGTACTAAGGTACTTGATGCACACGACGAAGTTGTAGATATACAATTACGTGGACTATTACGACTATTACGACCCATACATACTATATACGAACAACACATAATAACTCGCGGATACTAGCTGGAGTAGCGTGAAAGCCAATCTCTCATGTCCACGCACATACCTATATACCAATCTCGGGGGCGGTGTTTCTTTGCAATTCAAGATACCACAGATTGTTAATTCAAGGGAGGCGATCCAATCCAAATTCTCTCGCTCGGCCCCCTTCCTGAAAATCCCAGCCTTGCACTTTCGGGCCCACAGTACCGGAATAAACAAGAAGAAGGATGTCATTAAAAACTACCGTTTTTTCGTGATCATTAGGGCATCGGTGGTCGATCAAGGAGGGGCGATCTTCGCCAAACGAAATAGAACCAAGGGTCACTTTGCTAGGGAAATCTTTTCTATCTTTTTTATTTTTCTCGTCGAGCATTTCACCGTTTCTCATCCGAGAACCTCTGCTCTGGATTTAACAACTATGGCGTTTTATCTCTTTTCGGTCCTTTTTTTCCGCCTTAAAAGCTGTAATAAATTTCTTTCCCCCAGGTTAGGGGAGGGTTACCACAAAGCGTTGTGAGGTTTCATCGGCAGGTTACGCTCGATCTTGGTTCGGCTATCTACATCTACATTCATGTTACGCAACAAAGCCAAACCAAACAGACGAACGAGAGGAGAATCCGGAGAAAGGAATTCGAGCTACTATTAGCGAGGTAGGGTTGTCAAGCGGAGTCGGCACACACGGGAATGGATGCATAATCTGGTGGACGAGACAACGCATTGGCGGTGGGTTTCAACGGTGGCTGAGTTTTCCAACGACTCAGGATTTTTTTTATTTATCTGCTTTACCAAATCAGGCACAAAGACCTGCGGCGCATCGAAACTCAACAAACCCGAGGGCCAGGGTTGGGAAATACCACATTTTACAATTGCATACTGCCATAGGGAGTGGGAGATACCAGATTCTTGCATCATAAAAAGGTTACTAGACCTTCCGGAGGTGCAAACCAGGCGGAGTTTTATGTAGTTATTCATCGAATCACATCTTTTGTATTTGGAAACAGTTATTCCATCTGTCCTGTCTTTTTACAAGACAAACATAGTGGTCCTTTTTCGGCGGTAGCGTAGTCTTCTAAAATTTTTATAATATCTGTTTTCGTCGTTGGAGTGACAGCCTCGACAATGCCGTGCTCACAGTGTTTAAGCTTGTCTCAGTTGATTCAATATAAAACGGACTGTCAAAACCTGTCAGCGAGCATTATTGCAGTAGCTATCCGCATCTTCTACACAAAGAGCCAATTATTCCGGAGACATTTGGTAAGATGACCTCTGTTCTTCAGGGGGCCGGAGTACACTCCAACGGCCTACATTGTCACCACCTGCAAGCCCCGGGCGGGTGGGATGTATAGTGCGGTGCCTCACTTCCGCCACGAGGTCATCCAGCATGTACTAAATGTATCGTTAATCACGATAACCTCTGGGTTATCAGAGCGGTCTGTGAGGTGGCCATCGTTTATTCATAGCAAGGGAACATACTTACAAATGCCTCACTAACTGGAGGATAAGGACCACGCCCAGCGCCAAGAAGTAATATCTTCTCGTTAATAATGGCCCCTCTTCTTATTAGTTAAAAGTGGTCGATTCGGGACGTAATTCTCATCGCGCGTCTTGTGTGAAATCTCTCCTATCAGTCCGGGCCCCTTGCCAGTTTGTGCTGCATATAGCTCTTTTGGGACGCCATGCTGCAGGTGGGCAAATAAGGTGATCCAGACCATCGATCCTTAACCAGTCACCGGGTTCAACGCCTGGGAAAAGAGCCCTACGAATTACTCACCGCTAACAATTTCCTATGCAAAACAGGCGTTCTACGCTCGTCCCTCCGAGCCTGTTGGGAACTCACAATCAGCCACAACGTACCGAATCTCTCATATATTGTTTATATTAGATATAGACGGGGGTCTGGGCTATATTTCCCGAAACAGCGGATGATCGCCGTAAGCAGCTTCAGACGAACGCTCGGGGCTTGTAATCAAAGTGATAGATCTGGTTTATTACGAGCACGGCCACGGTTCCGGGATTTTTTGTTTACGACGCAGAGGACACCCGATCGTGGGAGGCATTGCAGGAGCTTGACAGGTCGACAGTGTTAGCCGCATAGCCCGCTTGTCATTTCCCAGCAACGGGATATGACCCGGTTGGGGGTGATTGACACTGTTTCACATGCATGAAGGCGGGGTAAGAAACGAAGCTTTTGTCGTTGAGAAGCTAGGTATCGTCGATGTCAAATGAGACCGGCCAACGTGACTTAGATCCCATTCAAAGCATCTTTAAGGCTCCAGAGGCCGCTACCGAACTCTCACTGCTGCTTCTCCGGGGAGGCGACGCAGTTATGACGAATACAACGGCCGCTAACAACATTTGAAGAGCGGTGTGGTGTGGGCGTTTAGTAAAGTGCGGCTTTATCCGCCATGTAGCGTAGAGACGAATAGGATGTTGTCCCCTGCCTGGATTTCGTAAGCCTCCTCGCCCTCTAGCTCCCAGTCGGCATCGTTGATCAAGACAAGGATACCAGGCCGCCTGTATCTACCGTATTAGCACGCTTACTATGCACCCTGATGGATAGAGTGTGCATTATACACGATTGTCCCCGGACAAAAACGGGAGGGACTCTGCAAAAGCTTAACATGGTCGGGTAGAATAGGGCACGACGGGGTGGAGCAGGAACATACAGATGATCTTCGAGCACGAAGAGCTCTTTCCGGGTGTCTTTCATAGTATTCTCGCACAGATAATCGATCAGGCCAGCGATCGTTATCGGCTTGCCCTCCTTATTAGTAGCTGGTATAGACAGCGAATGCCGGCGCTGATCTGAAAATAGCATCTCAAGGCCACCTCTAGACCATGGTTAGAAAAAGACTTTGCAGGACTAGATCTTTGTCACATTGCACATTGCCCATTCGTAGAAAAGAATCTAGACTTGGCTTCAGGGACGAGGGGGGAGCCACTTACGTGAACTCGACCACGATCGACAACTTGGGGATTTCGACTTCGGCTGAAGTCATTTCTGTTGTGATAGACATTTCGGCAAATTACCGTCGGACGATGAAAAAGGTAATCGGACGTTGTTTTAGTATAGACTAAGTGTAAGCATCTGCAAAACCAAACTGCACCTAAATACGGGAGTCTCCGTTCAACCCAATCCTGACTTTATGATGGTCGAGACGCACGTAGACTCCGAGTTGCATTTATGTATAATTGTGCTAGCTCTGCAATGCACGTATTGGGTTATGAAATAAAAGATCCCTATTCATGTAAGACGACTACAACCCTCGGCTACTCGCGGCCCGAACGTAGTAGCGGCGATGAGGTCATTGCACATTATGTAAGCTACCGAATTTGATATCAAAGATTACCTAATAACAAATTTCATCATGGAAAAGTTTAGTCGTAAGATACATGTCTTGATATATCAACTTAGCCCTAGAATATGACCGGTGTTATTTCAAGTATACCTTCATGACACAAAATCATGCGGGCCTTTCTCCCGCCTCCGTCGAGACCATCGCCGGTCTTTCCGCCGGTTCCATAGCGACACTCGTTGTCCACCCGCTGGATATAGTCAAGACCCGGATGCAAAGTGAGATGCCCCTATGTTCTAAGGTGTAAGGGAGCCGCCGCACGGGATTTCAAAGTTGATCCTAGTAGTAATGCGGTTCTTACCGGCGCTATCTTGCACTTCCAACTCCCATCTCCCAAACTAACACATGCCCCCAGTCCACCAACGCGCAACCTCGCACCCGCTAACCACGCTCTCCTTAATCCGGACGCTAACCCAGACGCCCCACCCCATCGCCTCTCTGTACCGGGGCCTGGCGCCGAACCTGCTCGGCAATGCGTCCAGCTGGGCCTCCTTCTTCTTCTTCAAGGCGTGGACGGAGCGGGCCCTCCTCTCGCTCAAACCTTCCGCCCCGACCGCGGCGGCGGCGGACGGCTCCCCCTCTGCCCCCGCCGCCTCCCTCTCGGCGCGGGACTACTTCCTCGCCTCGGGCGCCGCCGGCGTCGTCACCCAGGTCCTGACGAATCCTCTCTGGGTCCTGAAGACGCGCATGCTGTCCTCCGACCGCGGCTCCGCCGGCGCGTACCCGGACCTGCGCTCCGGCGCCGCGCGCCTGTTCCGCGACGAGGGGTGGCGCGGCTTCTACCGGGGGCTGGGCATCAGCTTGTTCGGCGTCGCCCACGGCGCCGTGCAGTTCGCCGTGTACGACCCGTTGAAGCGTCTATATTTCTCGCGCCGGGCGACCTCCTCCTCCTCCTCAGCCTCAGCCTCTCATCGAAGTTCCCGCCGTCGCTCCGATGTTGAATCTTCCCGGGACCAGCAGCAGCGGATAAGCAACGAAGCGACCCTCGTGCTCTCCAGCGTCGCGAAGCTGGTTGCCGGCGCCGTCACGTATCCGTACCAGGTGATCCGGAGCCGGCTGCAGAACTACGACGCCGACGCACGCTTCGGGCGGGGCATCCGGGGCGTTGTGGGGAGGACGTGGAGGGAGGAAGGGTGGCGGGGCTTTTACCGCGGCATCATACCTGGCGTCGTGAGGGTCTTGCCCGCGACCTGGGTCACCTTCTTGGTGTACGAGAATATGAAGTTTTACCTACCGCGGTGGACGGGCTAGGCGGGTTTTGTGGTTGTGCGATGCCGCCAGTTTTGTTCTCTTCCTATTTAAAAGTCATGGTTATGCCTAGGTAGTCTAAGATATCCACCCTAGCCTTCTTTATTACTTGTATCATAATATAGCTCTAGCTAGAAGCTGTACAGCTGTAAGTCAGTCCCTCCTGAAGTTTCTCTCATAACCAATAATGAATGAAAACATCATTTACCACGATAAAATAGTAGCAACTTGGACATTCACTAAACACGTATCATCAGTCGGCCCAATGTGAATCAATTACCTAGTCTATTTTATACAAGGCCATTAAAGAACGGCTGAGAAATCCTTTTGGTACCTCAGCATCGAGCTCAAATATCATTTTTTTTCTGCTAACGCCGATTTCACGAGACCCTTTAACCCGCATATCTTACATGTTGTTCACGAAGCGGTTTTGTTCTCGAGCAAGAACGTCTCCTCGATGGCAGATCTGCGTCTGAACACTCTGAGCCATCTCGCACCCCAGCGCTTCACGAGATCCTCCCCACCTTCGGATACCACGGGGTCCATCATCTGGTCCTTGGTACCTTGCGCCCAGCTGACCAAGGCATCCTCCATGTTCTTGAATAGTTCACGCATGCCGGCCACTTCCTCTTCAGCGCTATGGCTTGTGCCGCTGCTCACGACCTGTCTTAAACGGCTGGTGACTTTGACTACGGTATTAAACACTAGTTCAAACACCCAAGTTTTACTGAGAGCTTGACCATATGGGCCCGCACGATCGCTAACTAGTGCCCACTCGATGACTGCACCAGGCGTAATGATTGAATAGTTGAGCAACTTCTCAATGATAGTAATGGCGACGCCTGGGTGAGCAGACCAGTAGGCTACAACGGCTGTGATGATTTGTGCTCTGGCCGCCTCGGAGGCCGCTCCAGCATCAAGAAGTCTGTCTTTAGTGCGCTCGATACAAGCAAGTACGTGAGAGAGTGATTTTGAGCCTACCCAGCAAACCGCCGTCATGAAGACATCGGTGCTAGAGACAAACGCGTCGACCGACTGATCAAGAGCGGCAGAGTGGATACGGTCAATGATAGGCTGAATCTCTTCATCTGGAGCCTTGCGCTTGAGAAGAGCGGCAATCTCCCTGCCTTCCGCGGCAAATGGCGTACCTGGGTTTTTGGTTAGCTATCTGTCTGTTAGACCAAGGGCTTTCGACTCACGATCATCGTTGTACTTGAATTCTGGTGTATCTTGCTCCTTTTCAGGACCGATGAGGGCTTGGTAAGGCTCGGGGAGAGTTCCTTTAATTCGCTGGGCGAAACTGAGGCGAATCTCTTTATCTAAAGCACCGAGAATAAATGACTTGCGCGGATCCATGTCGGGGAGGTTGACATCGTCCACCCACTCTATCCACTTCCACATGAAACCGAAGTTGCTAAGATGGTGCGTGAACCAGTCTAGGAATCGGTAACATAGTTCCAAGTCCAAATGATGGGTATTCTGGTACGCATATCGAATAGCTCGGCCCAGACTGGGGGCGACAGCTGCGGGGGCAATCTTGCATGCCTCGGTAAGGACGGAGTGATAATAAACAAGCTTGTGTTCAGGTGTTGGAAGTGCGAACAATTGCGAAAAGACAGCATCGACGGCGACATCTTCCGGCTTCCATGTTGAGCGGTCTCCTTCCACATCTCTGAGGCGGTCAAATGGCGTGGCGCGCTTGACGAACGTACCGGGAGCAAAATAACAGTCCACGTCGATGAGGAAGCGTGCCGTAACACCACGGTTGAAGTCTAAGATGTTAATGGTATCGAGGAGTCCGTCTCGAATCAACGAAGACGCGATACTGCTGACCGGAGGAACAGATTCAATCTCTTGGTTAAGATAAACCGAGAAGTAAATCTCAGGAAACAATGGGCGAGGACCTGCGACGACCTTCTCCGGGATCGATATAGTCGGCAAGGCATGCTTCTGTGCGTTGTCAAGCTTCTCCTGTTGTTCGACCTCCTCAGGGGGCATCTGCCACGGCCTCGGCAGGCAAGAAAGCTCCCAGCCATTCAGTGCCTCATTCTGGAGCTGCTTCTGTAAAAGGCCAATGAGACTCATGTTTGCGGTCGGACTCTCTGTTCCCTCCTCGGCATGATATGGGTCGATTAACACCTGTAGCGCGTGAGGTTCGGAAGCGATGACATCCGTCTTATCCATAAGGTCAGCCGCCTTTTGTTGCCACTGAGTAGGTGCCGCCGCCATGATATATGGAATGGTGAGAAGGATGGTCTTGACAAGCTCTGTCCCAATTGTCTATAAACGTGTCAATAAGCCAGCGATAGTCGGTGAACAATAGGTGTATGCTTACATCATCAGAGCTTGCAGTCTGGAGGTCTCCAGCTCGGCTAAAGAGCTCCTCAAGAAGTGGGAATAAGCCATCGCCTTCTAAACAACTTTGTAGGCACGCCAAAAACTTCAGGTACAATTTCACATCGCGCCATTCGCCCACTTTGATCTTCTCCTCCGTCGCAACGGCAACCCGGGCAAGAAGGTCGCTTAGGATATCGGGCTTAAGGGTGTTAATGACGAGCACGACAGCTGCTACGAATGGAGTCTTGAGAGGCTGCTCTATGAGCATTTGCGGTACTAGTTCTAGGAAGCTTGTTCGGAGCTCCTGATCCTCGTAGTTGTTAGCAACGACATGGGCGATGGATTGAACTTCCTCATGCCAGCGTCGCAAAGGAGATTCAGCTAGGCCGAGGAGTTGCTTGCGTATGCGAACGGGGAGCGGCGCGTCGTATCGTCGACGTTGTGATCGGCGGTCGAAGTCATCGTCGTCTAATGAATATGTTAGCATGGACTCTCCTAAATAGCAGCGTGAGGCTGGATGCGACGACACCCATCTTCTATTTTCTTACCTCTGTAACGCCTTTTGCGGTTATTATAACCGCCAGCGGATTGTCTGCGATCGTTATCTGCCATCTTGTGTTGATGGAGAAATCCAATCTCAATGGATGATAGATTTCATAGAAATCGTACTCAAAGTTATATAAGTTAGTATGTAGTTCTTGAGCTGATGTCGTTTAAGTGGTCGTGACCGAACACGCAACGCGCAAAAAGAAAGCACGGACCTTCGAGCCTTCCCTATCTTATCGTGATTCAAACTTAAGTGGGTACCTTCTACGTATTACATTAGGTACCTAGGTAGCTGTATGTGCCTACCTAGTAGGTAGTACCTAGGTACCTATCTACATAAACCCACCATAGCTGCTTAAGATTTAAAATCAAATCAACGCATTTGGCCTAAAGTTGCGATGACTAGGTACCTGTTGAGAGAAGTCTCATTTGCCCTGTCATCTTTGCATGGTATATACCTCCTGCAACCACTTTTGGTCAGTATCTACGCAAGCAATCACAAGGCACAGCAAAAAGGCTCATTGCCATATCTGTTCCATCCTCAAGATGTTGCTTTGCCTAGGTATCATTACTAGGAGGCACGTGTTACTAAACAGATATTGGGGGAAAAAGGAAAATAAAATTTGGCAAGCCTTGCGCCTATTATTTGTTGCGGTCGTGACGAATTTCCAGGGCATCACAGTCATTAATACATTCCTACGCGTCAAATATCATCTGAAGGGGGAAAGAAGTAAGGTGTTGACATCCGATCTTTCTCTTAGGCCAAGTAGCAAGGTCTTTCATCACTGTGTGCTGTAATCGCGGCAGTCCTCTTTTCCTTGACGTCTCAGTAGAAAACCCGGTCCTCCGTTTTAGTTACCATCTTCCCACACGTCTTGACGCACGTCAGGGTCCGTCTTTCGAGGGAAGAAATGAAAAAGAAATCTTTTAGAAGTCATGCCGAGTTTCCATAAACTTGTCCCGTTCCTAATACCCATTGCTGCGTGGACGGCAAAGCCAGCCGGTTTCAACATCATAACCCATCTTTCGCCCAACTGCCGGTTCACTGCCACTCCGCACACCCGCTACTCATAGAATAACATATACGCCATTGTGCCTCCCTACCTTTAAAATCTGTAGGGAATATCTCGGAGGCCACGTACGGGGGAACCAGCCTCCTTGTGGTCAACCCACCACAAGGATAAAGCGAGTTATCGAACAACACAAATAAAAGCAAATGCCATCTCGGTCATGCATAGGAGAAGTCTAAGAACGCCTGGTGCGTGCCATCTTCCAGTCAGTACTCCTGGATATTGAAGCAGTCGTCCCTTGCTACCACAATCGAGAAACCAGAACCGTGTAAGTATGGATTCTCGAAAACGTCTGCGACACCTCGGAAACTCCCATAGCACGCCAAATTTATGGAGAACCCAGCCCTCTCAAATTGTACATTGGATTGTCCTTTAATTCCACTATGCTTTGCGCTAAAAGAGCACGCCGAGGCCGTCGAGAAATCGCCATTTCCAGTTCGGGGGGAGGGGTTCTACTGAACGTCGACCCAATAAGTTCAAGCCATTTACAGGCTCAGCCAGTGAGTGAATGCTGCAGCGAAATCCCGGGCGATAATGCATACATACGTGAAACGAGAGCGTAAGCGGAGACCGATCTTCAGTCCAGCTTAGCCATCATTTCTTGTTTCGTCATTGGTGTGAAATTATCTATATCGAGACCACGGTTCGCTAAGACGGGTTTCACATGGGAAGGAACCAACTTGTGGTTTAGCTGTGGTGCAATGGATAATTCTGAGCAAGCCCTATGGTCAGCAGCGATATAAGAATAGAGAAAGAAGGGGGGCGGAACTCACCGTGTCTTGAGAAGTCGAATAGATTTGGTAAATCCCTTAATTGTCCGCTCGAGTGCCGGGAATCCGGCAGCTTCGTGCTAGGGTCGCGAAGCTCGTCGAAGAAAGAATGCACCATAGCATCAATGGCACCAAGACGTTCCGTAGGCGTATATTCCAGCAACCTTGCTATCAAATCCAGAGCGTTCGCATCTGCCTTACGGAACACCTTACTGAACGGATGAGGCTTGATTTGAGGGAATTTATGCTCCATGTAGTTCGGATTCATAGTGCGAATTTGCTCGCGAGTTGGAGTTCCCAACACCTTAATGATCTCTACCAATTGATCGATACCGGACTCTCCCGGGAAAAGGGGTTGACCTAGCATTAATTCCGCCATGACGCAGCCAGTCGACCAGACGTCTACGTATCGCATAAGTCAACATTAATCAAGTATTGGAAGGAACTGGTACTGACCGATTTTGGTAGTGTAATTGGTAGCACCGAAGATGAGTTCGGGTGCTCTGTAGTACCTAGAGCAAATGTACGAAACGTTTGGCTCATTCTCCACCAAGATCTTTGCGCTTCCGAAATCGCATAACTTGAGCACACCGGTGTTCGGGTCTAGCAGGAGATTCTGCGGCTTGATGTCGCGGTGACAGATTCCTTGCGAATGGATGTATGCCAGGGCTCGGAAGAGTTGATAGATATAGAGCTTCACCTCAAGGGTTGGCATGGTCGACTTCATCTTGTTGAAGAATCGCGAGGCTCGATAGACAGTCTCAGGTACGAACTCTTGCACCAAGTTTAGATAGACTTCATCCTTCTACTCACACATTTTGTCAGCGATTTCACTGGTTGAAAAGCCAACATGTCTACTTACCCGCTCTCCGTTAGAGTAATAGAAAGCTTTCAACTGTACGATGTTGGGGTGTCTAACGATACGCATAATCTGAAGCTCACGATTCTGTGTCCAACGATTAGCAAAATGAACATATGATATACCCCACAATTCGACAGCAGTACTAACCTTGAATCGCTTGTCTTGCAGCACACGCTTGATGGCAGCGTCTTCTCCCGACGGCGAAAGCTTCGTCTGGAAGACAACGCCAAAAGACCCATTTCCAACGATTTTACACTGGGTATATTGCAAATCCCTCGTTTCTCCGGTTACTCCATCTTGGACCTTCTCACGAATGACCTCTATATCATGTTTTAGTGCCGTTCACCACACACATCATACATTGCCGTAAGAAGTGAGGAAGGGGATTGTTGTAGCTTACCTCCCATGCGGAGAGTATTGAAAGCCGCTGTTGGGCGGTTTTGCGCCATGTTGGACGAATCGGTGTCGGTCGCAAAATGGTACAATTTAGGGCGTCACTCGAGCCGTCAGCAAGAGTAGACGGGAGGTGGTTGACGCGCGGTTTGGGACGCCGTGTTGGGCGACAAATCAATAGGCAATTGGGTCGGACTGGGTCTCGATCGCAATTGACAGGTGACGAGGTGGTGGGTCAATACTGTGCTGGCTCGAGTGTAGTACGAGAAGAGGCGACGCTGAATTGAAGTGCCGGTCGGGCCAGTACGGATACGGGCGGGTTCGAAATAAAAGAAGAGTGTGTAAATGGGTGTTAGACTGGCAGACGAGAAAATCGTCTGGTTGCGAGCATAGACAAAAATTTCCTAAGATTTCAACTATTCAGGATCTATGTAAAGTCTCAAGAATGGAAGGGGTCTAGTATCGCGAGAGGGCGGAGAGGTTATGTAGGTAGGGATTTCTGGCGGGGTTGCAAGTGGTCGAATGACGGAACGTGACTTGAAAGAAACTTTTAGGTGTCCACTGCAGCGAAGTATACCTAGTAGTAATAGTAGGTCAAGCTACCTCAGGTACTTCCAAATAAGAATAGGACTAGACAGGCTTGTGGTAAGGAAAAAAAAGGGAAAGGTGGTCGGGGGGGTAGGTGAGTTTTAGATGTTTGTACGTTGTTGGTAGGAAGTCAGTAGGGTTAAGGTAAGGCAATGCATTGATCTCGGACACTGAACGTGGCGGGAGAGAGTGAGTGGTATGTGCTAGGCTAGCAGCAGTAGCAGCAGCACTTGGTAGCCTGTCCTGTCTCTGCCTGTATACCGGGCAAGAAGTGGACTCACCTTGTGGGATGGTGACCCTCTCTCTGGGCCTTCGGGAAAGGACTCGACTACCCCAGGTACGTGTTAACGATGACTTCTGCCGCACTAGAATTAGTTGGTCGTAAGAAATACGAGTGCATAGGCGCGGCGGCGTCAAATTGAAGATGACGGAGGGGAAACTAGCTGATTGCAAAAAGGACGACAACAAGCAGGGCAAAAGAGACTTACACGTTTGGTAAGTGGCGATGAGTTTGCGCGGGAAGCCGTTCAGTGTTGGGAAGGGGAAAAGAAATACGTAGAGAGAGAGGTAATGTATGGTGGCAGTCTGGTAGTAAAGGTGGTAAAAAGTGATAAAGTGTGGTAGGTAAAGGTAGATAGAAGGTGGTGAATGTGGGAAGATGGTAAGGTTGTGTTTGAATGGTCCAGAAGCAAGAGGAGGGGTCAAAAACTGGAGGGAAGGTATGCAAGTACCTAAGTATCGTCGTATCGTAAGAGGGACACACCTGGGCGCATCGACCGGCCGCAGTCGGTTGTGGGCTAGGTACCTTGGTACAGCCGTACCTTCCCTAACTACCTACAGAACTACAGAAGTATGTATGGTAGGTACATTGGTCAAATGGAGAGCCGTAGGTACCTGACGTAACTACCTCATGTACCTAGTAAACTACACGCGCATTCCATATTTGATGGATCCTCTACGTAGGTATATATAGGATATATATATTGCACCTTCTATTAGCTTAGTGATATTTTAATTGCTAGGATTGATGGAAGGTGCGAAATAAAAAGAAAAGAGAGAAGAAAAAAGTTTCGGGTCAGGTCACTCCAAATACGGCTTTGGCTTCGAGCTTCGAGATACTATAGAAGTAGACACACAGCCCCGACGAATCAACGAGCTCATACAGAATGATGAACGTTATTAGTCTATGTAGGTACCCTACGATTAGGCGGCCTAGCTTCATCCTAAGGAGAAACCATTGCTACCTGACAGGTCGATTGTAGAGACATACATATATAGATATGTAGGCAGGTAAGTACATCGAAATTGATTGTTAGGATTCGGATGTTGTAGCTAATAAGCTATCTATAGTAGTACTACCACCAGACTTACAGGTTTGGCGTACTTGACATAATCACTTTTTCGCAACAACCTCACGAGAAAGAAAAAGAGAAGTGTTTAATAAGCACAGCTATGGGGTGTGAAGATTTCAAATCTTTGGTTGAGGCTTTCAACTCCCTCGTTTATTGTTGAGAAGACACTTAGTACACACCTGCCCCTTCTCAACTTGCCAGGGTACGTGCTGCTGTATGTGTATGTGTGTATGTATGCACAGCACGGATTCTCCTGTAATAGCCTCGAAAACCATTGCTCGTCGAGGGAATAAACTGCAGGCGCTTTCCGAATTAGCATATCTCAAATGCTGACCGGTTGTATTTTGACTTGCTTTGCAAGTTGATACGAGCGATGTAGAGGATGAGTTCGGATTTATACATACCCCTCTGTTCCGCGACAGTTACTGTTGGCATTACTCCTTCCAGGAAGTTGCTTTGTCTTCGAGGCTTCGAATAACATCTGGCAGATGACAAATAGGAGTAAAGAAAGAACGGATGACTGCTTCACAGAGTTTTTTACACATCAAAGCCTGGGGAGACTCTCGTCTTCTTGTTACTAGAGTACTTGCAATTTAGCTACAGGTGCTGTACATTTCATACCAGACATCATTCATTCTTGGCAAGACTTACACCAGTGTGTGCGTATGCAAAGACAAGGGGTCCGAAAAATTGGGGCTTGCTCATGTGGTCTGTTCAGACTTAAGACGGACAGTTAGGGCGCTAAAGAAGACTCGGCAACCGAAGTCAAGTTCGAAAAATTGAATGGGAAGCAGATGTCGAATCTGCAGGGTCAAAGACGGAGCTCCCTTACTGGTTCCTCGACGAGCCAGCTGCGTCTTATTAATTTTTTTTCGACGGGCTCTAGAATACTATATGTATCTACGTACACTTTACGGACACATATGTGGCTACTTGAGAGGGACCGGCGATCTGGATATCTGGCGGTATTTTATCACATGGTGTTACTAGTTTCTTCTCTATGTCCACCTACGCATGTAGAAACAACAATAATGCGGACCCGCAATGGCTAGGTACCTAGGTAAGTAGGTATCGATGTAGGTAGGTAGGTGGTCGTTAAGTATGACGATGACGATACCTGCGAATCACGACTGAGAGTTATGCTATACGCATCTCACGTTTGCGCTCTTCGACGTGTATAACCTCAATGGATACGCATGTAGGTAAAGTATGTACCTAGCCTCTATCTTGGTTATCAATGCCTTGTCCTGTGTTATGTGTCATCGAGCTCAGTCATCGTTGATCATTAAATAACCGCCGACGTGGCACACAAAAACCATTCATCCGTGTAACTCGACCGTGGTTTTACATGATGATGGGAGTTTTAGAATTGCAATGTTTTGTGAGCAAGACTCGGAAATATATCAAGCACTTGACCTATTCCGAATGTACGAAAGTAGCCCCTTACCAACCCTACCAACAGTCAGGATGAGGTAGGCATTTGCATACATGCCTCTTTCTGCGAAGATTCCCCCGCCTCACAACCCCTCGTCCCTTTTTTTTTTCTGGGATCTCCCACAAAATCCTTGGTTTCCCAGCTTCTGTATTCCTAGTGCCCCGCACTTGGGGTGCTTCCACACAGACATGCCAACCCCGTGCCCTACTTATCCACATGTACCTTGCCTAGTTTAGATAGACCTTCAAAGGATAGATCAGAAAAGAAAAGAAAAACAAGAGCAGGAATCAAATATAGGTCCAATTCACATTTTACGACGGAATTGGCATATCTGTTTATAATTCCCAATCTATCAGGCCGGATCTCGAAGTGAATTGACTTTCACTTGAGCCGGCACGAAGCCATCTTCCTGCAAGCAGTATCAACTTACATATGAACAAGGCCGTTGGATGAACCAGCGAATCCCTGTCCACAGCCCAATACATCATGAGACTTTTTGCTGCGAGACAACGTCAGAACCCAGAAGCTCTTTTCTGCTTTTATTAGTGCCGGCCAATTGATCCGTCCGCTCCACCTGCATCGTCCTGTTGGCAATCCACGGACCATCGTTCACCATTAAAGCTTACCTACCCACGTATCCCGGGCTCTATAGTGATCCAAGCTCCTCTCGCCGATGGTCAATGTAAGATGAACAATTGGTCATAGCATAACAGCGATGAGATGGGTGGTTCGAAGTCGGATTCGGATGCATTCGTCCTCGAGAGTTCAAGACCCCTTTTTTTCGATAGCGCTGTCAGGAACAAGACCAGCCAACCCCATGAACTGGTCGAACTGGTCTGCAACGCACATGTCGCACTTAGCAGCAGTACGTATGTACATACATATGTCCATATTGATGTGCTAGTGGAGAACTGCGCATGCAAGAAGACACACGAACAAAACGCGGATTCATTCGACGGCCGGGGTGGACTCCTTGCTCTGGATACCCTTACAAAGAGAGGTCATGAGACCTTCAATTTGTACACGCTAGCCACAAACTTTGGAAAGTTAACTTGGACGGAACGCCGCTCCGTCTCCTGCTCCGTCTTCCTGGAGCCAGCCGACGAGTCAATCAACAATCGGCGTCATAGGTGCCATAGGTATTCCACTACCTAACATTAGTTAGACCCGTCTAGTCCCCTTGTTCTCCTAGGAGGCTTAGGGGGGATGGGGGGCTTGGAAGAAAGAAAAATCCCAACGAGTCCGATCTGCCATGTACATACATACCTAAGCCATACCTAACCTTCTATGTCACACACCCCGAACCCAGCTGCAAGTCACCAAGTGCCATTTTCGTCCAGTGGCAAAAAGAATTGCATGGTTCGGAGAGCAAATTGGTGTTCGAAAAAGAGCATTTCTTGACCAGCATTCAAATATGCTCTCGTAAATATGAATGAAGCCCTATGCCAAGCGGCTTCGGGCATTTGAAAACGCTTGCAAGCCCAACTCCGATGTGGAAAACTGAGGCGAATTGGGCCGTGACAGCTGCACGATCTATCTACCGCCCGAGGGCTAGATCTGCCTATCGATGACATCGTCATTATGATGAATCTGGCTCCAAGGTTCTTGTTCCTATCCAAAGCACATTACATGATTACTACCAATGGATTTGATTATACCTCCGGTACCCTTCAAAATGAAACTTCCATAATGGACCAATATGGATTGAATCCGAATGCAATGGCTTCCACATATGTAGTACGCCACCGTTTTCAACGCTACCACCACTCTTTTATGACTGATCACAGACGTCCTGCAAAAATCCAATAAGATTCAATGGTTCTGGAGCCTCCGACGTTGGATAGTTGGACTTTTACAAAAATAAACACACCACGTGAACACGCCGGCCGCCGTAAAACGATAGTGCCAAGACCGAGCTTAAGTGCTTGACCCCTATTTTGGGACGATGTACCTGATAGGATCTGGCAAAGCTGGCGGCATCC